TATATATATAATTTTGTTATGGGCTGGGGCAGACTGAGGGGCCACTGGCAGTGGCACCAGGATTTATCCCTACTGCTTGCCCTGGCTTTTTGGGAACCTATTATCTATGGATGGATACTTTGCTCAGCCTAGATATAGTAGGGAGGGCCTTGGACCTTCCCCAAAGCAATGTGCCTTACCCTCTCTGAGAAGTGGATGTGAAGATGGAGTGGAGGGAATGGGAGGAGAGGAGGGAGTGGGAACTTGGATTGATATGTATGATGAAAAAAATAGTTTGTTTTCTTTTTTTAAAAAAAATAAAAATAAAAAATCAATTTAAAAAAAATCTTGCTATATAGCCCAGGTTGTTCCGGAACTCAGCAATCTTCCTTCTTCAGCCTCCTGATTCCTGGGATCACGGTATGAGTTGCAATGCCTGGTTCTCAGAGGGCCTCATGAGTTGTACCGTGTTTCTGTGTTGAAATTCTAAGCGTGCTGTCTCGAGAATGTAGCCTTATAGGGATGTGAGCTTATTGCAGATAGGAGGATGCCACCCTGACACAGGTGGGCCTATAACCCAATATGATGATGTCTTTGTAGGAAAAGTGAGTGCCACGTGAAAACAGGCTCAGGGGCAGATGGTCATATGACAGGGGAGACCAGGGAGCATCAAAGACTGCTGGCCCTCGGGAGCTCCAGAGGCAGGAACAGCCCTGCTACTAAGGTTTAAGAGAGAGTACTGCCCATGCCCTTGAACTCGGACTTCTGACTTCCAGAACTAAATCAGTCGCCATGATGGTCCCACACCCAGCTAGGGAGCGTGATGAAACAAGGAACCATTTTGAGTCTTTCTCCTTTGCCCTTACTCCCAACATGGACCCCCATACTCGCCTGAGGCTCTGGCAATAGAGCAGCTGGGGCAGCAGGCTCTGAAGGACACTCTGGCTGAGGCACAGGGATAAATTGGCTTCCTGGGAGCAGATATCAGACAGCTGCAGGAGGTAGGCCAGAGCGGTGCGATGCGAGGGGCTGGTCAGGCCAGCCAAGGTCCCGCTCCGCATGGCCTCCTCCACACTGCGGGCCAGCTCTGTGTGCTGCATCTCATGCAGGCAGTACAAGACATTGATGCCCCGTGCACAAACCGCCGTGTCAGGGCGTAGCAAACCTTGTAGGACCTCAGCTGCCTGGGCCCGGTAGTTCTGGTGCTCACCTTGGGCCAGCAGAGAGCCAGCCAGCAGCGTATTAACCCTTGGAGACAGGAGGCCAGAGAGGAAGCGCAGAAACACATCCAGTCTCCCATCCTGAGCTTGTGTAGCCCTCTGGGCCGCACACCTGAAGTGCGTGAGGAAACCCAGCCTGGGCCAAGACATACCACTCTCGGTGAAGAGGTCAAAGATGGCTCTCTTGGATGCGCTGTAGTAATATGTGGCCGCCACAAATTCTTGCAGAGACAGGTGGGTAAAGCAATAGGCTGCCGAGGAGGCCAGAGTCTCTTCCCGTTGCAGGAGACAGCCGCACAGAGCGCTCTGCAGCAAAGTGAGGTCCACGCCAAATGCCTTCATGTCTTGCTCATAAAACACGTATTTCTTCTTGACCAGCCCATGAAAGGCCAGGCGGCCCAGTGTCCCCACCATTTTGCGGGCTCCCTGGGCCATCTGCTCAATCCTAGGACTTACCTTTCCCTTGTCCTGCCCCTCCCCACCAAAGGCCATCCTAAAGTACCAAGAGTAGAGCTCACACAGGGTCTGGGGCAGGAGCAACTCTGTGTCTTGGACAGCTAGGTTGCTGTGGTACAGGTGACCCAGTGCCAGCCCCACGAGCCTACAAAAGGCTGGCACGGTGCACATCAGATACAGAGCCTTGTTGGCCTTTATCTGAGTTAGCACCCGGCCTAAGAGGTTCTGGTCCTCAGGAATTATCTGCTCCAGACACGCTTTGATCTCTTCCTCAGTAAGGCCCCGGATCTCAGTCATCCGGTCCACTAGGCCCCCGGGGACCTGACCAGCAGCACTGGGACGGGAGGTGATCCAGACAGAAATTTCTGGAAAGAGGTTGCCTCGGATGATGTTAGTGATCAGGTGGTCCACCTGGATCTCCTTCTTTGGGTCTGTGCAGGCTATGGTGTTGGAGAATTCCAGCGGCGTCTTGCACTCATCCAAGCCATCCAGGACCAGGAGGACTCTGTCTGGGGCCGTTACCTCCAGGTTACCTTCCCCAGCGTTTGGGAAGACGGAGTGGATGAGTTTGTCGGCAGACAGCTTCTCATAGGTGTTCAGGTCCCGAAAGGTCAAGGGTAGAACCAGTGAGAAGTTCTTGCCCACCTGTCCCCTAGCCCAGCAACGAACAAAATGCCTCACTAGGGTAGTCTTGCCAATGCCGGCCACGCCGACAGTGACAGAGATGCGAGGTGGGATGGACACCCGGGACAGAGGCAGGAAGAGCCTATCCAGGGTGATGGCCCTGGTGGAGTGCCAGACCCCACGCGTGGCCTCCACCTGTGTGAAGTCGTGCTCCTTCAGCTGCAGGTCTGTCAGGCCCTCAACCAGCAGGAGGCTGGCCAGACGGTGTGAGAGGCTGCCCAGCTCTGGGTCATTCCCCACCCTGCTCAGCAGGGCCTCACAGTGCCTCCGTACCCTTGAGTCTGCAGGGTGCAGGAAAAAGCAGGTAAGATCGCAGGGCAAGGCGAGAGGGTTCAGGTACCCCTTCTCCCCCGCCCCCATGGCAGACTTACCATTGCTTTGGGATCCTAGCGGGGAGTCTGGCATTTTGCTAGGGGCCTGTAATAGCTGACCACCATTCTTAGCCAGCAGATCCACAAGGGCCTTCACCTGCTCAGCTGGAGAGACAGCATTGTAGGCCCGACATGTCTCTCCATCTGTCCTCACCTCTTGCTTCCTCATGGAGTCTGTGACTGCAGCCAGGAGCTGTGAAGAGCCCAGACTGCTGCCTGGTGGACCTCCGTTGTTTCCTGGCCAGTGAAAGTAATCATGGAGATGCAGGGGCGAAGTGGACAAGACTTGGGGTGCTGGATTTGGTCTCCGCTCTGGCACTTACTGAGTGACCCTGGGCAGGCTGTGTCATCTCTCCACACCTAGGTTTCCTCATCTGTGACCTGGCAATGAGGATGGTATTAAGAGCAAGGAAACCAGAAGGAGGAAGGAGGGAGATGGCCAACCTGGGGAGGAAGCAGTCCATGAGGCCATCTACTTAGCACCTTGGGAAAGCAAAGACTGGAGACGGAAGGACGGTGGTGAGGATGGTGGGTGCCAGGGTTGAGGATACGGAGGCGGCAACACTGCCCTGTGTGATGCTGTAATGGTGGCTGGGTGTCGCTGTATGTATGCAAGGGTAAACTGGGCTTCTGGTGATCCTGTGTCAGCTAAGAACCCGAGATCCCTCGCTGTAGCCAATGCAGCAGGGCTAGGGGACGTGGGTGGCGGAGTCTGTCGGGGCAGGCACAGCTGTGAGGGATCTCCATTCTCCCGTGAACCTAAACTTCTCTAAAACATGGCCTTTTAATTTTTCAAAAAGGAAAGGGAAGAAAGAGAGGGGAAGGCAGGCAGGCAGCTCTCAGAACAGAAGCACAGTGACTTCTCTTAGCTTTCCTAGCCTTCCTGGAAGTGCGGGGGCTCTGGGCTGCAGGAAGCACCCTTTGCTGCTGAGGATAGAGACTTGGAGACAGCAAGAGGCGAAGCCACTGCACATCCCACCTGCTCACACCTTTCGCCAAGGCCACTGCTTCTTGGAAGCTCTCCTATGACCCGATCCATCTATCTTCCTCTTCATCGGGCACAGGGGCCACCACAGTCCCTATGGACCTATCACCCATAGTTGACAGTTCTGGAAGAGGAAAAAACAATGGGGGAGGGGTCAGCAGAGGTCATGGTCCACCACTGCTGGCTGCAGTCCTGTTTAAGGTTGATCAGTCGTCATCGCTGCCAAGAATCTGGCGAGCCCTCGATGCCCTGGGCTTGGCCAGTTCAGTGGCTGGTTAACTGAAGAAAAGGTTGCTGTCAATAGACTCCTGGTTTTGAAATTGCATTGGGGATTGGTGTCAGTTTAACTTGGCATGAATATTTTCACACAGAAAATACTAAAAGAAGGTAGCAGTAAGAAAAACAACCGTTCTGCTCACAGCCATGGTGAACAGTCAATAAAAGCAGCAAGGTTAAGTCCAGTGAGCTGGGCTAACCTGGGATTGCTGAGGCTAGTGTAGGATGGGGCCACTCTGGGCTAACCTGGGAATGCTGAGGCTAGCGTAGGATGGGGCCACTCTGGGCTAACCTGGGAATGCTGAGGCTAGCGTAGGACAGGGCCACTCTCCCCTCCTGTGCAATCCTTCTGGTTTTGCTCTTTTATTTTTTTTTATTTTTTATTTTTTTTTCAAGACAGGGTTTCTCTGTGCCTTTGGAGCCTGTCCTGGAACTAGCTCTGTAGACCAGGCTGGTCTCGAACTCCCAGAGATCCGCCTGCCTCTGCCTCCCGAGTGCTGGGATTAAAGGCGTGCGCCACCATCGCCCGCCTTTGCTCTTTTATTTTTGAAATGTTCAAACCAAGGGGAAAAGCAAGTGGGATAACAATTGATGCTGTGATATTTCGGACTTGTGCTCATGGTTAGATGTGGTTAGATTACCTAGTAAACTGTATTTTTCTCATCTACACTTTGGAAAATAACAGCGTCTTACTTGTATCTCAGCATTTGTAAGATAGTTTTTGTTGGCCTGGAGAGAAGGCTCAGTGGCTAAGATCACTGGCTGCTCTTCCAGAAGACCAGGGTTCAATTCCCAGCACCCACACAGTGGCTCACAGCCATCTGTAACTCCAGTTTCTAGGGGGACACCCTCTTCTGGCCTCTGAAAGCATCAGGCATGAAAGTGTTACCCAGGTGCACATTCAGACAAAGTATATAAAATAAAATATTAATAATAAAAAGTTTTTGTCGTCATTGTGAATATTATTGGTGTAAAAGATGATTAATTTTTGTATTTAATCATATTTCAGTGAATTGGGCATTTTTGTCGACTCACCACTGTTCTGTTAGTTTCCTTCACGCTTTTACATTTTCAGTGGATCCTCTAGAGATGTCATGGTTGTGTCGCTTGGCATCCTTGTAGGAGCCTAACGGTGGGAGCAGGGGCTGTCTCTGACCCCTTTGCCTACTGGTGTGACCCTTCTCCTCCCGGTTGCCTCATCTGGCCTGGATGGGACGGTATGTGCCTGTCTTGTTGTAGCTTACTGTCTGTGTCTGGCAGATGTGGATGTCCTGGGAGGCCTGCTCTCTTCTGAGGGGAGGAAGAGAAGAGAGGATCTGGGGGAGAAGAGAGTGTGTGGGCGAGAAGAGAGGTATAGGGGAGAAACTGAGGAGAGGAGAAGAGAGGGAGGGGAAGCTGCAGGTGGGATGTAATATATGAGAGAAGAATTAAAAACTAAAGCAGATTTTCTTTTTTTTTTTTTTTCGAGACAGGGTTTCTCTGTGATTTTGGAGCCTGTCCTGGAACTAGCTCTTGTAGACCAGTCTGGTCTCGAACTCACAGAGATCCACCTGCCTCTGCCTCTCGAGTGCTGGGATTAAAGGCGTGCACCACTACCGCCCGGCCAGATTTTCATTGGGAATAATTTATGTTTTGTTCATGTGAACATGTGTTCATGTCTCTGTGCGTTTGTGCGCATGCGTGTGTGTGCCCACAGAGGCCAGAGAGGCTGTCATGTCTGCTGGCGCTGCCATAGGTGGCTCTGGTGAGGATTTGGGACCAGACTTGGCTCCTCTGCAGGAATCATATGCACTCTTTTTTTTAAGACTTGTTTATTTTATGTGTATGAGTGCTGTTCTGCAGGCCAGAAGGCATCAGATTCCAGATGGTTGTGAGCCACTATGGGGGTGCTGGGAATTGAACTTGGCCTCTGGAAGAGCAGCCAGTGCCCTTAACTCCTGAGTCATCTCTCCAGCCTCATAATTCATGCTATTTCTGAAATGTCACTCATTTTCAACAGTTTGGCAACCAGTCACCTTTCCCTGGAGCAGGGCTGGCTAGCAGCCTCACTGTGCTGTGTGTGCCAGGAGCAGCTCTGGGCAGATTTCGAGTTTCTATCGCCATTCAGCTAATGTTGCAGGATGTTTCCCCGAAGTCACACTGCATCCCACAACTCCTGTGCTCCTCCCAAAGTCACACTGCATCCCACACCTCCTATGTTCCTCCCAAGGCATCTACATCCACAGCTCCTGTGCTCCTCCCAAAGGCACACTGTGTTGTGCTCCATGTTTGCATCATCTAACTTACTTATAAGGATGAGTCTCTGCCATTGCCTTGTTTATACATAGACCAGAACACGAGGTTAGGTGACTGTCCTAAGGATGTGTAGCTGGGAAGCGTGGAAGTTGAGCTGGAATGGAATCCCAGGCCTCACTGATCCCAGCACCTGTGATGTGTTACTACCTCTGTAACAGGTATACACATGGTTCAAAACCTTGGTCACTGGGCGTGGTGGTGACTGACTTTAGTCCTGGCACTTTGGAGGCAGGGGCACAAGGAATGCAATCTTGAGGAGAGCCTGGGCTACATAGCAAGACCTTGCCTTAAAAAAATAGAGGGATGTCTGTTAACTAAAAAGTATTTCTTATTTATTCATTTATTCAAACAGTGATTTTTTTTTTTTGAAACAGGGTTTCTCTGTGTAGCCCTGGCTGTCCTGGAACTCACTTTTTAACCATGCTGGCCTCGAACTCACAGAGATCCACCTGCCTTCCAACTGCTGGGATTAAAGGTCTGTGCACCACCACCGCCTGGTTCAATCAGTGAAATTTTAAAGTATGTATGTGAGTGTGTGTGTGTGTGTGTGTGGTATATGCTGTCAGGTGTGTGTGGTATTACACACACACACAGAGGCCAAGTGAGGATGTCAGTTGTCCTGCTGTATCACATTCTCCATCACTCCAGTGACATGACCTGGACCTCTGCTGGCAGACAGAAAGCCCCAGAGAGCCTCCTGTATCTGCGCACCACAGTGCTGGGATTATAGACACACACATGATCATGCCCAGTTGTTACGTGTGTTCTAATGATTTGAACTCAGGTCTGTGTTTGTTCAGCAAGTGTTCTTGCCCACTGCCTCATCTCCCCAGCCCCTAATCTGAAAATTTGTCTGCACGTTTGTTTGTTTGTTTGTTTGTTTATGAAATGTCTGGCCTGGTGCCTCCTTTGTAGCTCAGACTGGCCTGGAACTCATGTAGTCCTCCTGCCTCGTCCTTCCAAGTATTGAAAGTACAGGCAGGTGTTACCAGGAAATGTTTTTTTTTAATATTTATTTATTTATTATGTATACAATATTCTGTCTGTGTGCCTGAAGGCCAGAAGAGGGCGCCAGACCTCTTTACAGATGGTTGTGAGCCACCATGTGGTTGCTGGGAATTGAACTCAGGACCTTTGGAAGAGCAGGCAACGCTCTTAACCACTGAGCCATCTCTCCAGCTCCCTAGGAAATGTTTATAGAGGGTGTGTTGTGTGTTGAAGATTTGGGGAATATGAAAATGAACAAATTGGACAACGTTCTCACCTTGTGAGAAAGGAGGAGTAGGGATAACGATAGTAAAGGAGACAGGAGAAAGGATTTCTAAGGTGATTGGTGACGCCCATGTAACCGTCAGCAAGGGTGACAGAAGTCGGCAGTCTGTGTGGTGGGCTGGAGGATGCTTTAGCCATGGAGGCATCTCTGAGCTCTGTGAGACAGCTATGTAAAAGTAGGAGGGAAGATGGCTCAGTGCGTAAAGTGCTTGCTGCCCAAGCATGGTGACCTGAGTTCAGATTTCCAGCAGCCGTGTAAAAGCTGATATAGAGGTATGTGCCCTGGCCCAGTGCTCGAGCAGAGACTAGCAATGGCCAGCAGCCAAACAGGCTCAGGGTCTCAAAAGGAAAAATGATCAGGAGGATACGTGATGTCCACTTCTGTTCTCCATAATGCATACACAGGCATGTGCACCTGCACACATGCATCGCATAAAAACACACAGAGACACAAATTAGAATTAGACAGTGTTGATAAGAGCATT